GCAGGTGAGAGGCGACATAATACGGATTCTTTTATTTTTGTTTTAGAAAATAGTCAATTAATTACAAATATATTCAAAAATATCAATTCACTATTAAATTCGGAATAATCAATAAATAATATATAAAGATTAAATTCAAATTATTTTACAAGGAAATAACTCTATTTATATTAATATTAGATTTAAAATGTAAATCTATTATATTCGTATTCACGTAAATTTAAATTTAAAGCAACAATTTTTTTTTAAAAAAAGAGATTATATAATTCAAGTAGGATACTGGCCCGCACGCATGTGCGGGTTTGAACGTTTTTTAAAAGATTGGATATAATTGAGGTGATGTTAAATATAATTGAGGTGATGTTAAATATATTGGTTTGAACGTTTTTTAAAAGATTGGATATAATTGAGGTGATGTTAAATATATTGAAAGTCAGTAGGTTGGTTTCTGATGGGCTCATATTGGTATATAGATCGCGACGAATTACAAAATATTTAGTCATTGACCAGTATTTTGTCATACAGTAAAACCTCTATAAATTAATACTCGATAAATTAATAATCATTATAAATTAATAAATTTTGCTGGTCCCAAGTCGGGCCAATATAAAAATCTATCAAATTCGATAAGATAATAAGATAATAATTTATTTTGAAACCCTTATATAAATTTAAGGTCCCAACAAAAACATAAATTAATAATGATATAAATTTATGTAAATATATGTAAATACAATATTCTAAAATATGACTAATGTATTTGTTGTGGACAAAAAAAAAAGACTAATGTATTTGTTTTTACTTAAAATTGAAATCTCATTGGTTCTCATCTCTCTAATTATTTTTTTATATGATAATTGATTTTCTTACCTTTAAATATTTTTAAATGTATTGTAGTGTTATCTTCAATTTTATCATCAGTAATACTGATAGTAGCTATGATTTTTTTATAAACTTTAAACTTATGAACATATATATTTTTACATGGACAATCCAATATGGTGTTAAAAACTATTTTATTGTGATAGTTATGATTCTTAATCATAATTTATATCATGAGATTTGTTAAAATTTTAAAATATAATATTATTACAAAGAAATGTTTAGAAAATTATATGCAAAAAGCAAATTTTTTCTATAAATTAATAATTATTAATTTATAGATAAATTAATATCATGATAAATTAATAAATTATCATGGTCCTAACATTATTAATTTATAGGGGTTTTACTGTATATTCATATAACGGTTTATTTGTTACTACTACTACATATATTATGTAATGACAACAATACATTTAACTTATACTAAGAGCGTCTAGGTGATTCGTCATGCGGACCAACCACCTATTCGCTCTTAAGACCAGTTGACTATTATAAAAAAAATATTGGCTAGAATACTGAGCCGCACACATGTGCGGCATGATTGGTGTTATAATTTTTTTTTTAATACACATGTGCGTCAGTATAGCTTGTGAGATAAGTTTTGATAATATATAAATATAAATTAAGACAAAATTTTCAAATCGTTATAATTTTCCAAAAGTGTAGCATGAAGATAATAATTAAAATGTGATATTCAAGAATTTACACTTCGAATATTCCATAAACGATTGGTCGATATTATTTTATATATATTAATTAAATATTTTTGAATTTTATTTTTCTAAAATATAATATATATGTAGGAATATTTCTTGGTAGAAAATATCTGAAAAATATTGCGATCTTTAATTTGGTCAATAAGATTTTATTGACGTACATAAAATTTATGCTGTATTTGATTTGGGTAAGTAATTTAATTGTAATCAAAATTCATCATTAATTGCAATATTCAATCAGTTTCAAATCATATATAGTTGGTTTAGGAAATTTTGGCTATGTTTCCTAAAATCCTATGATGATGCCGATAATAATGCTAATAATTAAATACTTTCTAAATTAAATGATATTTCAAATATATTCACAGTTTTTTGATGGGTAAGGTAACTAAGATCCGCTCAGTTTTAATTTCCCGGTTAGAAGATCCGTGTATTTAGAATATAAATATAACTAATCAGGTTATTTTTATATTTCTCTTTCTCATTAAACAGGAACCAATCAAAAGTCTCAATTTAATCAGTCTTTTTCATGTCACATTTGACGTGGAATAAACGTCATCATTGACATAAGCAATGACTGTTTTTTAAGCCAATCAAATTAAAATATCTAGGATTTTTTCATTAAACTTCATTCTCATTTAATATATATGATAAATTGATCAAACGAAACTACTTTTTAATTAGTAAATGTACTTACAAAGTTGTTTAATTTCACATAGAGGCTTCTTCATCGTATCTTGCATGAAATCAGCTTCCTACATCTGTAGTTCTGTTGAGAACTCTGCTAGATCTTGAAAAACAATTTTTTCTTTTTTGACTGAGTCAAAGGGTGCATGCTGATGTAAATGAGCAACAAAACAATCCGTAGCCATCATAGTTAACCTAAAGTGAAAAAAAGAAAAGCAAAATCTATGAATATTCTAAAACATGCTATAAGAAAATATAAAACTACTTCTTTTGCATCTCATTAATGTCATCATCCATGGTTACTATCAAGAAAAGCATTCAAAAACCAAATCAAATATTAGAATCAGAACATGATAAATATGAACATCAACAACATAGATGGCAAACGGATAACAAAAAACAAAAAAATTGGCATCAGAAACTTTAAAATAATGCATGTTATGAATCTGCATTACTATTATACCATGGTACATAGAAGATGACAATTAGCCACAGTGCCATTTTTCAATCAAACTTTGAGAAATTAGCCTGAATATCATGGAAAACAGGTTTTAATGCAAAAATATATAACATAATATACTGATAGTATTGCCAGGTTTAACACTAAAAAAGTAGAACGAATCTTTGAATTAGATATGAGCTTCATATCATTGAGATCCTGCAAAGAAAAAAAAAGAAAGAAAGAACATCAGTTCAAATCATTATTGAACATCAGATCCGGCAAATGGACTCTCTATTTATATAAGGTGAAAACATGCGAGGGTTTGTTAGAATAAAGAAGAATAATTCTTTCCAAATCTTTATTTTAAATTTGGCTAATTATTTGGTACATTTGTGAAGCATATATTAAGAATATTTGTTAAACATATATTAGGAAGCTTGCAATCTTTACAACTATCTCGGAAATATTTAATTTACAACATTTGAACAATACATAAATTGTGCTTTGCAAGTTTTGAAAATAATATCACAGTTTCGAATTTAAGGAAAAAAAAAAATCAGAGTATTTCAACAAGTAAATAATAAAAGATGCATTCAATGATATTTACTAATTCAAATATGAAAACAGAAAAATATGAAATATGTATTACTAAGAGAATGTTGTTTACATGCATGATCATTTTTCTTTAAATTATAGGCAGCGAAATTAAAGGAACAAATTTTTAAAATTTAGAATTTAAGGCAATATCCTAAAATTATGTGATTCTAAATTATCATTGATGCAATAACGGAGAATCTGCATTTATTGTTTAGATTTAATATTAAGATTTATTTTATTAAAATTATATTTGTTATTTATGAAGTTCTAAATTCCGAAGTTATATTTATATTTTGCATAATTATGTCAAACTATTTTACAAAATACGCTTTCAAAAATATGTAAATATATGTTGCTTAATAATTTATTATTAAATAAATTTATATAGGAAAATATATAAACAATACGAAAGAGGAAAATTATATTTTAAATTAATAAATGTCAAAAAATAATAATCTGAATTTTAAAATTGTGAATTAAAGTAATATATAAACAATTTAATTAATTAAACAATTTTTTGTTATTAATATTCATATGATTTTAAATATGTTTCCAAAAATTAATTAATCATTTTAGCCCAATAAAAATATAGATTATCAGATTTATTTTTGGGTCCAAAAATTATTGAGATTGCCATGTCACATTTGACGTGAAATATCTCATTAAACAGGAGCCAATCAAAGGAGTGCCCTTGCCATGTCACATTTGACGTGGAATAAACGTCATCATTGACATGAGAAATGACAGTTTTTTAAGCCAATCAAATTAAAACACCTAGGATTTTTCATTAAACTACATTCTCATTTAATATATACGATGATAAATTGATCAAACAAAACTACTTTTTAATTAGTAAATGTACTTACAAAGTTGTTTAATTTCACATAGAGGCTTCTTCATCGTATCTTGCATGAAATCAGCTTCCTACATCTGTAGTTCTGTTGAGAACTCTGCTAGATCTTGAAAAGCAATTTTTTCTTTTTTGACTGGGTCAAAGGGTGCATGCTGATGTAAATGAGCAACAAAACAATCCGTAACCATCATAGTTAACCTAAAGTGAAAAAAAGAAAAGCAAAATCTATGAATATTCTAAAACATGCTATAAGAAAATATAAAACTATTTCTTTTGCATCTCATTAATGTCATAATCCATGATTACTACCAAGAAAAGCATTCAAAAACCAAATCAAATATTAGAATCAGAACATGATAAATATGAACA